AGAAAACTGAAACTAGATCCATGTCTATCACTCTGTACTAGTATCCACTCAAAGTAGATTAAGCACCTTAATATCAGACCTGAAACTCTGAAGTTAGTACAGGAAAGAGCAGGGAGTACTCTGGAAGCTATAGGTCTAGGCAAGGACTTCCTCAGTAGAATCCCAGCAGCCCAAAAAGAAAGGAGGACAAATGGGACTACATGAAATTTAAAGGCTTCTGCACAACAAAAGAAATGGTCTCTAAACTGAAGAGACCACCCACAGAGTGGGAGATAATATTCACTGGATATACATCAAACAAAGGACTGATAACCAGAATATACAGGGAACTCAAAAAACTAAACTCCCCCCAAATCAACAAACGAATTAAGAAGTGGGCAAGTAAACTGAACAGAATTTTTTCAAAGGAAGAAATCCAAATGGCCAAAAAATGCATGAAAAAATGCTCACCATCCCTGGCCATAAAGGAAGTGCAAATCGAAACCACACTAAGATTCCACCTCACCCCTGTTAGAATAGCTATCATCAAAAACACCACCAAAACAGGTGTTGACAAGGATGTGAGGGGAAAAAGGAACCCTGCTGGTGGGAATGCAAGCTAGTGCAACCACTCTGGAAAACAATATGGGGGCTTCTTAAAAAACTAAACATGTATCTGCCATATGATCCAGCAATTCCACTTCTAAGGATATACCCAAAGGAATGCGACTCAGGTTACTCCAGAATCACCTGCACACCCATGTTTATTGCAGCGCTATTCACAATAGCCAAGTTATGGAAACAGCAAGATGCCCCACTACTGACAAATGGATTAAGAAAATGTGGTATTTATACACAAAGGAGTTTTACTCAGTCATGAAGAAGAATGAAATCTTATCATTCACACGTAAATGGATGGAACTGGAGAACATCATCCTGAGCAAGGTTAGCCAGGTTCAGAAGACCAAAAATCAGGTTCTCCCTCATATGCAGATTTCAGACCTAAAACAAATGCAGTAATATTATTGGACATGGGTCACATGCCAAGTGGAGAACATGTACAGGAGAAATAGAGAAAGGCTGGAAACCCAAAACTTGAAAGTGTTCGGTGTGCTCCCTACAAAGAAGCCAATAAAGTAATCTTAGACTAACAAAGGCCACTATGGGAGGTGACTGGGAAATAGTGAAGAGGTCTGGTAGAGATGAACCAATTCAGGTTGAAATATACATGTGCATGGAAGCAATGCTAGGAATCTCTCTGTATAGCTATCTTTATCTCAAGCTAGCAAAAATACTATGTCTTTTTTATTATCTCTTATGTTTTATCTTCAACAAAATTGGAGAAGAGGGCAGAACAGGATCTTCCTAGAAGCAAAGTGGGGGTAGGAGAGGGGGAGGGGTGGAGGCATGGAGGAGAGATGGCCCAAACAATGTATGCCCATATGAATAAATGAATAAACAATGAAAAAGATGTTATAATTGTTGCCTCAAATATTACATATAATTTATTAACCTCATGACAACAAAGGATAGTGTACTATATTTACTCTTATTTTTAGCCATCTCCAGATTCTTTCCATTTTGAAGTTCTAAGCTTTCTTCCATTATCTTTTTCTTTTCTATCTAGAAAACTTCCTTTAGTCACTTTTTAAGGGCAGGCCTTCTAGCAAATCAAATTCTATTTATTTTCCTTAATCTGATAGTATCTTTATTTCTCCTTTAATCTGGAATGATATTTTCACTGTATTTAAAATTTGTTGTCAACTTTTCTTTTCTTACAGTATTTGAAAATGTTGTGCCATTTTCTTCTGGCCTCTATGGTTTCAGGTGAGAAATCTGCTGTCACTTGAATTGGTGTTCCCCTATGTATAATGAATCACTTCCCTCAAGACTTTTCTTTGACTTTAGTATTGAGAAGTTTAATTACAATGTGTCTTGTGGTGAATTTCTTTGGGTTTGTCCTACTTGAGGTTCACTAGATGCTTTGGATCTGCATTTGTACATCTTTCAACAAATTTGGGGTACATCTAGCCATTATTCCCTTGAGTACCTGCTAATCTTCATTTCCTCTTTCCTCTCCTTCTGAGACTGAGATATACAGATGTTAGCTCTTTTATTATTGTTACACAAGTCCCTGAGATTCTATTTTTAAGTTCTCAGGTGTTCAGATAGAATTTATTCTATTGATCTACCCTTAAGTTCACTGATTCTATTCTCTGTCTTCTCCACATTAACAATGAGGTCATTCTACAAGTTTGTATTTCATCTATTGTATTTTTCAATTCTGTAATTTACATTCAATCCCTTTTTAATTCTTCTCTTTATTTGTTGAAATTTTTCTATTTGTTTCAAGGGTACTTCCTTCCTTGAAGGACTTTTTAATGACAGTTACTTTAAAATCCTTATATAATTCCGCCATCTAATATTTCCTCTTCCCAGTGTCAGCATCTGTGACTTTTCCACTTAATTTATGATTTTCCTAGCTCTTCATATGATGTGTGCTTTCAATGGAATCCAGAGTATTTGGATATTATGAGTTCCTATTTAATCTTGAGGTGCAGCAAAGGGACCTGGTGGGTGAGCATGTTCATCTCTCTGCTGAGTCTCACTACCCTGGTAAAAATGGGGGTAGACTTATCCTGCCTTGTGGAAGACGGGTGGGGTAAAAATTCAGCTCCCTTTGGCCCTGTTGATATCAGAGTATGGGAGGGAGGATGCAGAATGCTTATTAGCCCAATTTCCCACCACCTCATTACACCTATTGATATTGGGTAAAGGTAGAGTCTCAGCTCCTGCTGACTCTTGTTAAAACCGGGGAAAGGAAAGCAGAATATTATCTTCATATCACTTCATTATATTGATGCTAAGTGAGGCTAGGACTCAGCTCTCCATCTGACCCTCCTTTGGAATTGAGAGGGATGAGAGGTGTTAAGGTTTGAGTCTAAAATTTCTCCCTAAAGTTCAAGTGCTAAAGGCTTAGTTGCCAGCTTTTAGTCCATTGATGAGTTCATAATTTGATGGGCTATTTGAAGAAAACAATAGAAATTTAGGAGGTGGGACCTAGTTGAAAGGAGTGGTTCCTTGGCGGCATGCCTTGGTAACTATATCTTGTTTCCAGCCCCTTCCTCCTGGCTCTCTGCTTTCCAACTACCATGAGATGAGCAGTTTTTCTCTGCCACATGCTCCCCATTATGATGTTCTGCCTCACCCTGGCCTAGAAACAGCTGAGTCAAGTGACCAGGGACTGAAACCTCTGAAACTGAACCAAAGTAAATATTTTTCTCCTTTAAGTTGTATTTTGTCACAGTGATAGAAAGCTGACTAACATAAGAGGGAAGGCATCAAAGTGTCCATTAGCCCTGCTTCACACTGCCTTGTTTGATTTCTTATTGTCATGTGGGTGTGATTTATTTCTTCCCTGGGTCCTCTTATGCCACAGTGGGGAAAATGGAAAGTGCTAGGGCTGGGGTTGTGGCTCAAGTGGTAGAATGCTTGCCTAGAAAGCATAAGACCCTGAGTTCAAAGACAAGTACTATAAAAAAAAAAAGTGCTGCTACCAATACTCACACCTTCTGGTATAGTCTAATTGATGTCAAGTAGAGTTAGGGATTCTGCTCCCAACTGGAAACATAATGGTGATTAGCTCCAACCTACATTACCTGATTGATGCAGAGGCTTAGTTCACCAATAGGCCCCGCTGACACTATCCTGAGGGTCTCCTCTCAGGATAGTCTACCAGGAGGAAGATGGAAGATTAGCTTCCTGCTCAGTCCTACCAACACCACTGGGTTCTATCTACTTCCTTGGGTCAGGCATGAGATAGCAGGTTACCTCCCTGGCAGACCCTTCTAAAATTGCTAGTGGAGAAGTGGGGAGAGGGTCAGGTTTTTACCCATGTGTATCTGATGTAAAGTGCAAATTGCCAAAAAGATTTTCTACTGTTAGGCCCCCATGTTCCTGATCCTTCAGCTATGAGAGTAGGATTTTTTCTTGGAGTACACTTTGTCCATGCTTGTTATAAATTCAGGGGAAAATGCCCTGACTGGGATCATGGGAGGCAATAAGGAAACCCAAATAAATTATTGACTTTTCATCTCTCAAGTTCCAAGGTCCCTAGGGAGCCGCCCTTCTTCCTTTCTTCTTCCACTGTCTCTTGTAACTTGTTTTTTGAGCCATGTCCAGGGATTTTTTTTAATTGCAAGGGAGAGGACCTGGAGAGAATGTGTCTATTTCATTTTGGCAAGCCAGAAGTCACCATTCTTCTAGCTTAAAAACACAAAATGTAATCATATTTTATATACAATTTTATATCATTTTTACTTACCACAAATTTTTCATTTCTGTTATAAATAGAACTCTTTAAAGGCTATATAATATAATTCCCTGAGTGGTCAGACAATCGTTTTACTATTGTTGAAAATTTGGATTCCAGCATTATTGCTACAATAAATAATGAAGTGGTAAGAATGTTTGTGCCTTAAGTTCTTCTGTATTTAGGATTATTACCTTAGGATAGAGTCCCAGGAGTAGAATTACATATGGCTCAAAACAACATTCAAGAAAACCCTTTGTGTTCTCATAGACAACAAAATTTCAGCATGTTTTCAGACACAAGACAACTTGATAGAAAAGAAAATAGCATTGCAATTTGCTCTAATATGCATTTCTTTAATCACCAGTGAAGTTGATCAGTAGTTCTCCTTTTGTAAATTTGCTGTTCATCTTTGGGGACTTACGTAGTCTTTTGAAATAGCCTTCCTAGTGGGAGAATCTGACTCAATACATACAAGTAGTTTTATAAAACCAAAAAGACATAGCTCAACATCAAAGATAAACTAAAAGAGAAATGATTTAATCCCCTGTTCAGCTACTGCAAATTTCGAGTGGCCAATAGGAAAATACCTGCCAATTAAATAAAGACAGCAAATGAAGATAAAACATGAAACACTTCAGAGTTTTGGATAACCCTTGATCTTGAAAATTATGCTATTTAAAATGAATAAACATTTGCTGAATCTTACCTGAAGCAAAACAATATTGTCACCTTCAAAAGTTACAAGCACATCTGTGTCACACTTTAGGCCCGAGATTCGGTTTTCCATCATGTAACCCTAGTGCAGAAGAAAGAGGGGGAAAAAAGCCCCACATCTTTACTTTGCAATCACATCATTATACAGGACTAACATTTTCTTTGAGATAAAAAAATACACAAAATTGAAAAGAATAAAATAGCCATATATCACCTACTTAGAATAATCATTATAAGAAATTTCAATCCACCATGTTAGCTTTGGATCACAAATACTATTTTAGGGTTGCCTTCATTAGTAGCAAAAACATTTAAAAATAGTCATGTCATATTTTTCCAATAGCTTTCAATAAATTATACAAGCACGGATTTTGGAGCTATAGATACAGCTCAGTGGTAGAGTGCTTAACTAGCATTCGCAAAGCCCTGGGTTTGATCCCCAGCACTGCAAAAAGTAATAAAGACATATATTGTTTTCTATCTCCCTTCCAGATATTATGAATTCTAATACATGTCAAAGTATTAGCTATTACATCCCATTCTATGCAAGGTAATGATGCCTTCGCCCACACACAATCCTTCTAAAAATTGGAAGACAGACCTATGAAAATTCTTGGGAGGCAACACAAAAGTCTTAAATTGCCACTCTGCATCTTACTGTCATTAACTACTCTGCATCATAAATTCATATTCTGGCTAGTCCTCTTTCTCCTCCCCATCTTCCTCTCCTCCTCCTCATTCCTCCCCCCCTCCTCTTCCCTGACATCCAGTTTCAATGGCAGTAGCTCACAACTCATTTTCCAAGTTTCCTCACATAAGCTAAGGACTTGGTTACTCAAGATCCAGGCAAAACTTGAAGGAAGCAAATCTTGCCCTTGGCCTTAGGCCTTTCCCCTTCCAAGACCTCCACAGCTCTCCTTCAGCTCATGTTCTCATCATGAAACCCCCAGAATCTTGCCTACTATCCAAATCTGCTTCCACAGACCACTCCAGCCTGTCACTCTATTACAAGTGATTGTCCTATTACTTCTTCTGGGAGCATTTGAAATTAGTACATTGACTCCAAATAGAGATTGACAATCTTTTTGCCCCTGTTAAAATTTTCAAGCCATATGAGATACAGAAGATCAAAGAAAGGTGGTCAAGAATCCTCAGTGCCCAGGGACCTGCTTCATTTCTGAAAGCATCCACAGAACTTCTGGGATCCTGGTGCCTACATAGCCATGAAAACCTGTGAGCATCAGCCTTGTTCCCTGCTGGGAGAACTACCAGCCCATCTTCCCGTTTCCCCTCAGTGTCACAACTGGACAGTGTTACCACCTGCAGCTGACAAAAGCAAAGGAGCTTGTCAGAATCCTTTTCTTTTTTTTTTTAATTTTATTATTCATATGTGCATACAAGGCTTGGGTCATTTCTCCCCCCTGCCCCCACCCCCTCCCTTACCACCCACTCTGCCCCTTCCCTCTCCCCCCCACCCCCTCAATACCCAGCAGAAACTATTTTGCCCTTATTTCTAATTTTGTTGTAGAGAGAGTAGAAGCAATAATAGGAAGGAACAAGGGTTTTTGCTGGTTGAGATAAGGATAGCAATACAGGGCATTGACTCACATTGATTTCCTGTGCGTGGGTGTTACCTTCTAGGTTAATTCTTTTTGATCTAACCTTTTCTCTAGTTCCTGTTCCCCTTTTCCTATTGGCCTCAGTTGCTTTTAAGGTATCTGCTTTAGTTTCTCTGCGTTGGCTGACATAAAATTAAATTGATCCTTTTTATGGATGAATAAATAAGTACTTTTCCAACCAGGAGAAGTTCTATCTCCTCAGCCCACAACCACATGGCTAAGCCCGCCTCACAGACAGACCACATGAAGTCAGATTCTGACTGAGCCATTCATGACTCATGTTCACCTGATCCCAGGGCTGACTCAATTTCATCATTCTGATTCTACCTCACAGTGAGTACTCACTGCAAGTCTGATACTGATCTAAGAGTTTGATACAAACTTCATCTACTTCCCTCATCCTTTTCATTTTCATAACAGCACTGTGAAGTGAACGTTACCCACATTTTACAGATGAAGAAAGCAAGGTTCAGGGACTTTCTGAATGCTCTGGAATCATCTCTCAAGTTCCAGTGTGGAAAAAAGATGAACACTAAGTTCACCACCTCCATGTTGAAAAGTTATACCTAAGAAGAACAGCTGTTAACAACACACAAAATAAACAGTGTGGAAGAAACTCCTTTTCTCTGAGCATGTTGCTCTCGTCTTCCCCAGTGGAGGACAGGGCAACATGTTCTTGTTCCCTGACACCATGTTGGAAATCAGATAATCTAGGCTTTAAAACGGCCAAAGGAATAATCTACTCAAAGGACAGCGACAGTAGAACCAGCAAAAAAATATCAACAGTCTCTCAGAGAACAGGTCATGGAGGAGTCCTGTGAGCATAAGGTGTTTTACCTTATAATGGTCTTCAAATGCAACATAATTTACTTCTCTCCTAGGTGGTAGAACTCTGCTTTGGACTCCTCCTCTGGTTTGAAAGACTTGATGATTCCAGACTCTGAAGCCCTTGAGAGCTGAGGAAACATGGCTTATAGCTCTCACAGAGTTTGCAGGAAACTGAAACAGCGAAGAGAAACTCCAAGTCCAACACGAGCGAGACAGCAGCTGTGGGCAGCACATTGTTTCCTAGCACCTGAAATTGCCAACGGTGCATTTACCATCTAATTTCCTCAGAATAGACCTCACTGGATTCTAAATCCTTGGAACATCTGAAGTGACACATTTAAAAGCTAACTGGGCTCAGAAAGTCCTAACATCCATGGTCTGGGTGAGTATGCATGCTAGTTTAGAGAAAACTCTATGATGTAGGGAAGTTAATGAATGGGGACTTAATAGCTGTCTTCTTGAGGGACTCAAATTCTATGTTTGGAGCCAAATGATTATAAATAGTGTGTGCATGTGTATTTTTTAATTAAAATTATTTTTTGGTTTTTTATTTATTTTAATTTTTTATCATTCATATGTGCATATAATGTTTGGGTCATTTCTCCCCCCCTTCCCCCACCCCCTAACTAACCCCCCTGCCCCCTCCCTCACCCCCCCATCCCCTTGCTGATAAATAAGCAGTATAAAAAATCAGAAAGTAAAGAAAATCAAAAGGGAAAAAGAAGGTTGGGCACAGTGGCTCTCATCTTTACTTCCAGCATTCTGGAGGCTGAGGCAGAAGGATTATAGATTTGAGGCCAGCCTGGGTTACATAGTGAGACCATGTCAAGAGGGGGGAAAGGGAGAGGAAAGGGGAAGAAAGGGAAGGGAAGGGGAAATAGAAAGGGAAAGGGGAAAGGGGAAGGAGGAAAGGAGAGGGGAGGGGAGGAGAGGGAAAGGGGAAGGGAAGGGAAGGAAAGAAGATAAAAGTCACCCACTACTTCATGGTGTGGAAGATGAATATGTGCCTGAAAAAGAAAAATCCCAAGAAAAAGGCTCAAGATAGGAACTCTCTTCATTATAGTCTCTGGTCAGAAGTCCCCACCAAGGGGAGGCCACCCCAGACTCTTCTGTCTAAAACAATCGCCCCACCGACCGCCTTTATGTGCCTTTCCCTTTTACTCCTTATCTTTAAGACAGTTAACCTTACTGGCCTGCCAGAAACCTGGGCCTGGAGATTTTCCAGGGCCTCTGCTGCCACCTTGTTCTCAACCTCCCCTCATGCTGCCCTACCTCTACCTGATGTGCAACACCGACTCTGATTCTGGCTTTCCTCTGTAATTGTCCATGGGCTCCATGCTATAGTTCATATCCACTGCCTGTGAACTTTGTGTTCCTACTAGAGTGCCACTAGCCTTGCTCCTCTGTCCCCATAGGCTCCTGCTCTGTGCAACTCCACCAAGAACAAACCCGATACTATGCTTGTCTCCTTATCTCTCTGCCCCAGTCAGATGACTGTCTTGTCATCTGTCCTCCTTATTTCTTATTTTTCTTTTCTCCCTTCTCACTTCCCTTATCTAGCTTACCTTTCTCATTTCTTGGCATTTCTCACTTCCCTCTTCTCTTTCTCCTTGCTTGCTTCCCATCTCTTTCCCTTTCTCACTTCCTTTTTCTTGCTTCCTTTTTTTTCTTGCTTCCCTTTTCTCACTTCCCTTATCTGGCTTCCCCTTTCTTACTTTGCATTTCTCACTTCCTTTGTTTCTCCTTTCTTATTTCTCACTTCCCTTATCTTATTTCTCCTTTCTTGTTTCCCATTTCTTTCTTTTCTCCAAAAAAAAATTAAAATTGGCAGATAACATTGTGGGGGTGTTTATCATGTGCAGTATGTTTTTAAGTTCATATACATAGTGAGATGGTTATTCTAGCAAATTAAGAAATGTATTTCATCTCATAGTTACCATGTTAATGCTGAGAATACATGACATCCACCTGCTTTATGTTTTTGAAGAATACAGTATGCATTACTAATTTTTTGAAGTTCATCTCTCCTGGCTGGCTGTAATTATATATCTTTTGACCAATGTCTTGTCATACCCCCTCCCCACTAACCATCCCAGCCTCTGGAAACCACCATCCTACTCTACTTCCATGAAATCAACTATTTTTGATTCCACATACAACTGAGATCATGTGGTATTTGCCTCTCTGTGTCTGGATTACTTCACTTAATATAATGTTCTCTGAGTTAATCCACATGGTCACAAGTAGTAGGATTTCATATTTTTAAGCCTGAATAACATTCCACTATGTATACATACCACATTTTCTTTACCTATGCAATGCTTTGATGGACACATAAATTGATTCCACATCTTGGCTATTGTGAATTGTGCTGCAATGAACATGGAAGTATAGACGTCTCTTCAACATACTGATATAATTTCTTTTTGATATATATACCCAGCCAAGGGATTGCTGGATCATATGGTAGTACCATTTTTTGAGGAACTCTATACGGTTTTCTGTAATGACTGTACAAATTTATATTCCCCTCTACAATGTACAAATATTCCCTTTTCTCTGCATCTTCACCAACACTGTTGTTGTCTATCTTTTTGAAAATAGCTATTCTAACTGAGTGAGGTGACAGCTTATT